AACCGATAAAAACAGCGTGATTCGTATCATGTCTTTGCTCCTTTAATTAGGTAGTTAGTCCTGTAATCTCTGTAGTTTCCAGTTAGAAATAAGTTGCGAGCGATTTATCACTCTTTCGGAAGGATCTCCACCTTCAGTTTGTCCTCTAAACCTAAACCTTTGGCAATTTTCATAAGATCTCGTTTTTTATCTATAGTTGCCATGTCCGTTAGGATGTAATATGAGCCTGACTGTGTTTGGTAGCGGTCCGGGTACTTGGATACCGCAACGAGAGGTATCTTCTGTCGGGATATGTCAAGAGCCGCAACCTTTTCTATTCCTAACTTTTCAATCACCTCAACGAAGGTGTCCTTTATCAAAGGACGCTCAATCCTTTCACCATCGGGCATCGTAACAACCAGTTTTGTCCATTGTAGCGATTGTTTGGGTTTTGGATCCGGAGCAGGCGGAACGTGAACTGACGGAACAGAATCTTCAACGTGAATTGGCGGCACAAAATCTTCCTGGGGCCCCGCTGTTAAACTTTGCAGAAAGGTAAGCACTTCTTCTTCCGTTGGTATGTATCTACAAACTTCTTTCGTACCGTTTATCACAGTTTGCAGCAACACCTGATTCTTTTCTTGCAAGATTTTGTGCCATACCTCGGGCAAACGCTGCGCTAACTCTCGCTGCCCGAGAAAAGTTCCAATAGTCTTCTTCAATTGAAAGAAACGCGTTACCTGTCCGCACTGACTCGTAGTTTAGGTATCTGTTCAGACGGTAGGCACTTTTCCTCACGATCTCCCATGAGAAGATCCAACTCGACTACCTTAGCGTTCTTCGTAAGTTCCTTCACCGGGTGGATAAAAAAAAGACCATTTCCGCCCATCAGTGAGGATAGCAACGCGGACACCTTGATGGACAGCGTATTCAAAGAGTTGCCTTTCCGCGCCGTCAAGTTTTCCAACTTGCTTAGCCTCAATGAAAATGCGTGGCGTTGCGGGTGGATGACATAGCGCGTAGTCAACTTTCCCCCTCTCGACTGTGTATTCAGGAAAGACAACTTGAGTCTTAGATGTAGCCAACCCAACTCCTTGAGCAGTGGGTCTATAATACCCAGACGCACCGCAGTTTCATTTGTAAACTGTCGGTGTTCTAACTCGTTGCGTATGTCATCAATGTGTTCCTTCAGTGTCATACTCCTACTCCTTCCATATTGAATCGGTAATGTCTTGACCATGTCCGGTGCGGTTCCAAACCGCACCTACCGGGTCTGGAGAAACTCTTTCTGACAACTACTGAAGGCGTTCGGCGAGGTAGCTGTTGCGTTCCATGACTTGATTGTTGCGGATACAGATGCCGAGTGCGCGTTTGGTCCCGACTATCACGACGCGCTCCTTCGCACGGGTGATGCCGGTGTAAAGCAGATTTCGCTGTAACATGAGATAATGTTGCGTGTGTAAGGGGATAACAACGGCGGGATACTCGCTGCCTTGTGCCTTATGGATAGTTGTGGCGTAAGCCAAAACGAGCTCACCGAGGTCTGCTGTATCGTAAGCCACCTGTTTATCAGGGAACTGGATGTACACCTTTTTGTTAATGTGTTCAATCGAGACGACTCTTCCGATATCGCCGTTAAACACGTCATAGTCGTAGTTGTTGCGGATTTGCATCACTTTATCACCGATGCGGAACCCACCTGCGGTTTGAAATTGACCAGCAGGCTCCGACATCCGTTTGTAAGTCTGAACGCCGAACCTCGACTTTTCCAAAGGATGGTGGGATACCGGCGTAGTATGTTCCGGGTTCAACACCTCCTGGAGGCGTTTGTTGAGGTTTTCAGTACCGAGTGTCCCGCGCCGCATGGGGCATAGGAGTTGGATATCGTCCATCGGATGGTAATCGTAGTGCCGTGGTAACCGATCGGCAATGACGGAACATATTAATTCGGTAATTACTTCGGGATCTTCCTCCTCCATGAAAAAAAAGTTCCGATCTGTGTCGCCCGTGAGTTCTGGAAAATCGCCCTTATTAATGCGATGGGCATTTGTGACGATCATGCTCTCCTGCGCTTGGCGGAATATCTCGGTTAATTGGATGACGGGTATCCTTTGAGAATCAATGAGGTCTCTGAGGACATTGCCTGCGCCGACGGAGGGAAGCTGATCGGTATCCCCAATGAGGATGACAGTAGTCATCGGACGGATTGCCTGCATCAAACGGTTCATCAGGACGAGGTCTACCATAGATGTTTCGTCAACAATGACGACATCTGTGTCTAAAGGGTTCTGCCGATTTCGCTTAAATCCATTGTTTTGCGGAGAAAATTCAAGGAGCCGATGAATGGTTTTGGCTTCGCTGCCGGTTGTCTCACTGAGACGTTTTGCCGCTCGTCCGGTGGGTGCTGTCAGAGTGATGCGTCTGCCTTCTGCTCCAAACAGACGAATCATGCCGACAACCGTTGTCGTTTTACCGGTGCCGGGTCCGCCGGTAAGGATCATAGCGCGTGTGGTCATGGCGGTATGGATCGCCTCGCGTTGTTGTGACGCGAAACGGATACCCATCTCGCTCTCCAATTGGGTGAGGAATGGCGTACTGTTAGGCGACAGCGGAGCGGTGCTATGCCCTTGATCGGAAGCAAGGAGCCTTAAAAACTGGTTTGCAACACCGAGTTCGGCGTAGTAAAAGGGTGCGAGATAGATGGCGGAATGGTTATCAGTTATCGGTTGTCGGTTGTCAGTCGAAAGAGGTTCTTGGTGTGCCTCGGGAATCTCTTTCTGACCGCTAATTTCGTAGGCATCCTGTGGTTCACTCACACCCATCTCTTCGTCTGAACTCGCCACGTCTGTAAAACTGGGGTTAATAATTTCCTCTTCTTCGACGAGGACAGAGATACCTTGCTCAATCGCTTCCGTTTCTTGCTCAAGCATGGTTTGGCACGCCTCAATAAGTTCAACACGGCGTTGGAAGACGTGTCCATCATCTGCCTTCTGGCTGAGAACATATTTGATCCCCGCTTGTACCCGTTTCGGGGCATCCTTATCAATGCCGAGTTTCTGTGCGATCGTGTCTGCCGTTACAAAGCCGATACCGTAAATGTCATCGGCAAGGCGATACGGATCCTCTGTGACGATCGGGATTGCGTCGTTTCCATAGGTTTTGTAAATTTTTGCGGCGTGTGCCGTGCTGACATCGTGCGATTGCAGGAAGAGCATGACGTTTTTTATCTCGCGTTGTGCCTCCCACGCTTCCTTGATGGTTTGAACCCGCTTCCGCCCGATACCGGGGACACGTGCCAATTTTTCAGGCTCGTTTTCAATGACATCCATCGTATCCATACCGAACTTACGGACGATGAGTCCCGCCATCTTGGGACCGATGCCTTTGATGAGACCTGAGCCGAGGTATTTTCTTAATCCAACTACATTTGCGGGGAGGATGGTTTCATACTTCTCGATTTGGAACTGTCTGCCGTATTTGGCGTTGTCTACCCACTCACCTTGTAAGAGAAGGCTCTCACCGGGGTTGATAGATGCCAAATTGCCGACGACAGTGATGAGCTCGGCATGATCGCGCCCGGAAAGTCTTCCGACTGTATAGCCGGTGTCAGGGTTTTCATAGACGATACGTTCAAGTATACCCTGTAGCGTTTCCATTTTTTTAATTATAGGCTTCTGAGCATCGTTCTGCTACGGAGAAGAGAAATGAAAAACTGTGTTTTTCATCTTCCTTCCTCGTTTCACGATGGTTTTCGGTTAATTCCAGCTGGATTGGAAATCCGTGCTGAGTTTTTTAAACTATAAATAGAACGAACTACTCAAACAGGTGCGCGACCGGGCAAGAAAACCCCGGCACGACATCCTCACCGGTGAGTGTATCATCACGTGTGAGCGTCTCAATGTCTCGCTCAGAACGATATACCGTCACGGTTTGGGAAACAGGTTCAAGCACCCAGACGAGACGGGTTCCCGCGTTCAAATATGCAAGTGCCTTCTCGGCAATACGAGATTGGACATCCGAGGGAGAAACAACCTCAACTGCCAGATTCGGTGGTATAGGAAACCCCTTTTGTTTTGTCTGTTTTGTTGCCCGTCAACTGTGTAGTCGAAACAAATGCGACATCAGGCTTCATTATACGTTCTGCAACCTGAAACGTGGTCTCCGCAGTGTACAAGCGACCCAGTTTATTCTGATACACATGCGCGTCCAGGTATCGAATGACATTGACACTAATTTCACCATGTTCTCTCGACGGTGGTGGCATCGGTACTAATTCTTCCTTAACATATTCATATCCCTCTACATCATGCTCGAGAAACTCCTCCAACGTCATCTTGAGACTTTCTGGCGGACGTATTCCTTGCTCAACTTCGTGGATTTCTTGTTGCTTCATGCTTTTAATCCCTCCGTATAGAAAGTCACCAGTGTGCTAAAGCCCAAACACGTTTGAACAGGAAAGGTAAGAAGTCTACCGTCTGTTTTACCCGCCGATCTTCAGTTAAAGCCTAATCAACTTCCGTCATCAACTTCCGAAAAGCGTTGAGTTGCGGGGCAATGATATGTGATATATCAGTTTTGTTCTCAAGTGCTTCAACGGTTTTGAGTCCGTTGCCTGTGATGGCGAGAACTGTAGGTTCATCAGGTCCGATGTGCCCGTTCTCTATCAATTTTTTCGCGACGGCGAGTGTGACCCCACCAGCGGTTTCAGTGAAGATACCTTCCGTGGAAGCGATGAGTTTGATGGCATCCACGATCTCAATATCGGTGGCGTGCTCGCCGACCCCTCCGGAGTTCCGGACTGTATCAACAGCATAGATGCCGTCTGCGGGATTTCCAATAGCGAGGGATTTAGCGATGGTGTTGGGTCTAACAGGCTTTACAAAATCGCCATTCTCTTTGTATGTATTGACGATGGGTCCACACCCTCGGCTTGGGCGACATGGATTTTAGTGTTCGGTTTATCTATTAATCCCAAAATGTGGAATTCTTTTAAAGCTTTGCCAATCTTTGTGACCAGAGAACCACCGGCGGCAGGTGCGACGATATGTGCGGGTGCCTTCCAACCGAGTTGTTCGATCAATTCAAAGCAGAGGGTTTTCGAGCCTTCAGCGTAGAAAGGGCGGATGTTGATGTTAACAAATGCCCACGGATAGATCCCGCCAATTTCACTACAGAGTCGATTGACATCGTCATAATTGCCGGTGATACGCACGACTGTAGGACCATAAACGAGGGATGCAACGACCTTACCAACCTCGAGATCTGCGGGGATGAAAATGAAGCAATTCAGTTTCGCGATGGCAGCGTGTGCGGCGACAGCGTTAGCGAGGTTGCCAGTGGAGGCACAAGAAACGGTGTCAAAACCGAATTCTTTCGCTTTGCTCAAGGCGACTGCTACCACCCGATCTTTGAAAGAAAAGGTGGGATGGCAGACGGTGTCATCTTTGATATAGAGTTCCTTGATCCCAAGCGCGTCTGCGAGATTTTTAGCTCGAACAAGAGGTGTAAACCCAGTGTGGGTGCCATCAGTCGGTTCACCATCTACCGGTAGCAGATCGGCGTAACGCCACATGCTTTGCGGACCTTTTTCTATTGAACGCCTTGATATAGATTTCTGTATTGCTTCATAGTTATAGTTTACTTCCAGGGGCCCGAAACAGAACTCGCAAACGTGAAGAGGTTCCTTGGGATACTTCTCACCACATTCGCGGCATTTGAGCCCTAATACTTTTTCCATTTTTTTAATTTTCCTTGCGGTTCGGTCAGGCTGGTTAGGATTTTGACGATCCTCATCGTAATCCAGCCCGGCACGTTGTTTGGGCTTACGTTTTTGGTGCTATTAAGATCGTGTGTCCTCGACACTTCCTTCAGAACCCGAAAACGACGATCTCACCAGTGAGGAAGATCGTCGCGACGCACCATAATCAGAAGATTAGATTGTCAGCTTAACGCTAAATTCGTTCTTTCCGGATTGTAATGTGAGGCGTATAAAAAGCGAATGTTCCCCTATCCACCTGACATCATCGACGTTGGCTTCGGTTAATCGCAAACCTTCGTGGTCGCCCCACACTGCTATCCCATAGGGCATCGTCCTCGTTGACTCCACCACAATAGCAATGTGTAGTTGCGTCCGGTGTCGCGTCGGTAAAAAGCCCGTTAGGACCGGCTTATTCGCCTTGGATTGTAACACCCGTTCGGCGGTATAGTTTTTGATTTCAACGGGATCCATAGCACCTTCGACAAAGGTAAATTCGCATGCCGCGTCGTAGTAAAATATTTTTAACGTAGATTTCGGCTTAGCAGTTTCCTCTTGAATCTCCGTACTTGCCCCTACAACAACCGTCGGTTCGGTTTTCTGGCAATGTTTAATGTAATCGTCAACCATTTGAGAAAGAAGCAGCGGTTTTGTGTCTTGAACACTAACAACGTGTGCGAAGTATGCATCGAGTCGTTCCAACCCCTCTTGCCCGAGGTGCGCAACGGTAAGCGGATCGATATGTTCCACATAACCAAGCCATTGATTCCACGCTGCGCTTCCTACATAGACATCATAATGCTGTTGCGCTGTTCCGTTTAAGAGTGCTGCGCGGAGATTATGTGCGTCTTCGGCGAGATGAGCAGCGGTATGGTAGGGGACACCCACAATCTTTTCAAATGATTGCGTAAGATCTGCATCAGTGGTCCCTCGTGCGACAATAGCATCAAGAGATGCTGAAGCCTCAAGCGGGTAGAAACACCCAAAACCGCCACGGTCAGTTTCAATTTCGGGAACGTTAGCGTCTACATCCTCAACACCCTGCTGATTCCAGTGGTAACCCCAAAGTCCGCGGAACCCAGTTTGTTCAAGTGCCCGTAGGAAAGTATCATTCTTGAAGACTGCCCCTGCGATGTTAATTTCCGCCCAAGGCATTGCCCGCGTGAGTCTTTCCCGTTCCTTGATTATATATTCCGGTAACTTCTCTCGCATCGTGACGAGATGCGATGCCATGGCTTCGTGCTGGCACCCGGATTTGCGTTTCTTTCCGCCTCCCAGTTTGTTTCCCAGATCTGTCTGATGTCGAGCATCAACAAGGGAGCGTCCCCGTTCTCTGTGTGCCATGTTGTGAGCAACTTGGCGATGACCGGAGCAGATTTGGTATCGACCGCCCATGTTATGGGTATACCGTGTTTGTGTGCAATTTCTGCTAACAGTCGGACGCCCTCAAGTAGTCGCTCCCGGTCTTCCGCTATTGCTGTGCTTACCAATCCATAATTCAACTCTTTTAACTATGGGCCTCGGGGCCGCTCTCCATTTCATTACGAGCGGGTTTTCGATTAATTCCGGCACAATTGGGGATATGTGCGGTTTTAAGAAGATTTTGTTAACCTTGACACCACTCTGAATTGTCACAATTATAATTTGGACCACTGCCACAATGCCCGACCACCACCCCTTCAATTGAGAAGGTAACCCAACAATTTTCTTATAGTAAAGCCTATAATTACCTATACACATTAGCGTTGGCGAGGTTAGGAAACCTCGCCAGCGAGGCGGGAAGGTCCCCAATCCTCGGTATCCACATATTTTCGGGCTTTACTATAATAGCAGTCAACTCGGACTATTCCAAAAAGACGGTAACGCCCATGTCGGCGTACTTTTGGCGGGTGCTGGGATTGCCGTTCCTAAAGCAGACAGCGGTTGTCGTTCCCTCCAAAGCTCTTGCGACGTATTCCACACAGGCATCCACGGTTTGGAGTGCATGATTTGGGTGGCTCTCAATGCTGAATGTCAGATCAGCAGGACCGAAAGAGAGACAGTCAACCCCCGGCTTAGCGAGATATTGTGCATGTGTGACAGCTTCTATGGACTCAACTTGCATCCAGAGGATGCCATTGGCGTTCCACCAGTCGGCGTACGCAAGCCGTTCTTTGCCTTCGGAATTCACTCGGGCGGCACCACCCCAACTCCGAATCCCCTGTTGCGGGTAGTAGAAAGCGGCGACTGCTTCGTTTACGGTTTCGTCTAATTCGACCTGTGGCACCTCAATACCTGAGGGACCTAAATCAAGGTAGTTGCCGATGAGATAAGCGTTTCGGGTATGCTTAATCCGAAAGTTGACCAGAATCCCCAGTTCATTCGCCATATTACAGAAGGCGACGAGCCGATCCTCGTTGTATGGAGAGTGTTGGCTATCCACGGCGACAAAATCGTAGCCGTCCTCTTCGACTTTGGCGACGAGTGCGTCGGCAGATGCTGCCATAGAGACGTTAGCGCCATAGACGAGTTCTCCGTTATGGATCCGTTGTTTCAAATTTGCTGCTGACATTGTCATCCCTCATTTTTTTAGCGCAGCTTGCCAATCAAAATCTGCTGTTAAACACTATCTGCGGTGCGCGTAGGTTCAGTTTTGTAATGCAAACGGCATAGCAGGTGCTATTCCGAAACCAAGGCAGGCGTTTCAAGTCACGCCTGAATTTTTATAATTATACCCTAAAAACCGTTTCCTGTCAACGGATTTGTGTTTTGGACGGACGGATTCAACTCGTTAGTTAACAGTTAGCAGTTGGCAGCAGAGAAGGTGTTGGGTATCGGCGGTTCAATCGTGAGTTCAAGGGCGTGGGGATTTTGTGAGGCATCTACATATTTTCAGGCTTCACTATAATTTCACAGTTTTCATAGCAAAACCCGAAAAGTGATAGGTCATTAAAAGGGTTGTAAACCCGTGCTACGACTGGGTTTTTGGCGATTTTTGTCAGGAGGGATTCTTGGAAGGTTGCTATGAAATTTCATCACGGCACACGGAGTGTGCCTACTACCTTGCACCGCGAGTTAGCAGTCGGGAATCGGAGTTCCCTCCTACAAGAACCGGTTATCCATTATCCTCGTAGGAATTGCATCTGTTGGTTGTCGAAGTGACGTTCTGATTTCTGGGTTGGACGGATCCGCCACGCATCAGGTAAACGGACGAGGGTGTTGATAACATCTGGGTTCTCGAAGTAGGTATCGTCTATCTGCCAGAATTGGAGGCGAGGGTAGGATTGACGGTTGTGCTCAAAACTGCCCATGCTCTGCGCCTCTTGTCGCATTTTTGCAGTGACAGGTTCAATGGTGATAAAGATGCCGACTTCGGCCTTGTGCTGATCCATGACGTGGCAGAAGGCACGGACTTGGGTAATGGTAGGTTTACCGGTCTTGACCTCGGCGAGGATACGCGCGTCGGTCTCTTTCATCTGCTGCGGATTCCATAACGTGACGTGACCGACCCCCCACTTGGTATAGTCCTCTTTCGTCCTGATGACGATAAGCCTTTTTTATGTACTCCGGGTCGTGTTCTGTATAGACAGGATTCCATACTGTTTGCTTACTTTTGCTATAGAATAGAATTGTGTCGTGGACCCTGCCATATTGATTGCCATCGTTATGTGCGTTGGTACGTTGCCAGATAATCTCGTTCCTGAAATTATCTACGCCAAAGACAGCGTCCAGAACCGCTTTAAGGTAATGGCTTGCTGTCGGATCGCAGTGGAGGTAGATACTGCCGGTGGGTGTGAGTACTCGGTGCATCTCGGCAAGGCGGGGTCCCATGAAGGTGAGGTAGGCACGCATCGCGCCACTATTGCCAGATACAGCGTTTTGCAGGACTAAGTCGTTTCCTTTGAGGCAGTTATCAAGTGCTTTGTAGGTGTCACTGGTGTAGGCACGTTTTTCGATGTCGGCACGCGTGTCCTGTGCGGCGGTGTCCCAGGTCCAGGTATCGGTAAACGCTTTTTTCTGTGCGAGGGAGTCGCCGATGAAGGCATTGTAGTCGCGCCCACTGTTGAAGGTGGGTCGGTGCATATTAGGTGGACGCGTTCGTCGTCCATCTCGCGGAGGATTTCGAGGTTGTCACCGAAGTAGAGTTTGATTCATAATTGGCTATCAGGGGTCAGTCGTCAGCTATCAGCGAGTATCAAAATGTTACACTGGTGTAACATTGGGTGTACAGAGGTTATCGGATAGAACCCAGTGACTGTAAGGGTTTATCGGCTTTTGTTTTCCGATTCCTCGCTGCGAAAAAATAATTTGGTGAAAAGTGTAACATTTTACTTCGCCTCTCTGCCAATAAAACGTGAAATAGAATATTACTGTATGTCACACCGACTCCATCACGAGGCGAACCTCTTGTCCATCCAGTACGAGGAAAATATCGAACTCCAATTCCGACCCTAACGTCTGTTTCATTGTCTCAATAGCCTCTCGGACAACTGGTGTGATCTTCGACGCGAGTTCTAACGGGGATAGATCTGTTACAAAGTCTAATTCCATTTCCAATCTGCGTTTCATCGGATAGCCTCAACTTCGTTGTCACGGTCATCGCATATCACCACGGCAGATACTTCGGAGTGCGCCGAGATGGAACCCATACCACAATAGGTTATTATATTATATTATTTTATACATAGTATACTATATTTTGCGTCCAAAGTCAAATTTATCTTCTATCGGGAGTCCGTATTATAGCATACAGTGGATGTAAAGTCAAGTGAAAAATGACACAGAAGTTTTCAGTTGTCGGTCGGGAATCGGAGTTCCCTTCCACAGAGTGTCGGGAATCGGAGTTCCCTCCTACAGGAGTCAGTGTTAGATTGGGCGCGGGTTCTGGGAAAAGTCGCGACCGGGAGGTCGCTCCTACAGGAAGATTTTGAGAATTGACAGGATCGGATTTTCAGGGTATCATGTTGCGATGTGAAAAGAAGAGACAGTGATGATGGAGCGTTACATGAAACCTTATGAATACGTTGAACATACAGCTGATATGGGACTGCTGGTTAGAGGGAAAAGTCTGCCTGACCTTTTGAAAAACGCGGCACAGGGACTCTTCGAAACGATAGCGGTCGTGGATACCGTCGATGAGACAGACTCAGTCGAGATCCACCTCACGGCTGAATCTGTGGAAGACCTCTTTGTGGAGTGGCTTGGCGAACTCATCTTCCAACACGAGACAAAGGAGATTTTCTTTAAACGCGCCGACATCAAAGACTGTAGTGAAACGGAGGTATCAGCGACGGTTTATGGTGAACCGGCAAACTTCGATAAACACGAGGTTTACACTGAAATTAAGAGTGTCACGTATCATCAACTACAAGTTGTGCAAAGGAGTGATAGCAGTTGGTTTGCTCAGGTTATTTTTGATCTCTGATATAGCAATCAGCATCAGTTGATTGGAACGGGTGGAGACGGCAGTTTTATAGTAAAGCCCACAATTATCTATACATTGGCGAGGTTAGGAATGCAGATCGCATTTGGGCGAGTACGCCGCAAAACCTCGCCAGCGAGGAGTATGCGGGACTGTTCCTATGGATAGAACTGATACATCGTGGTGTTCAGCAGCACGTTTAGGAGGCTCCACGTGCTCCCCATGAGGTAATCGCCGAGGACTAACCCTAAAAAGAAAGGAATGGCGCGTCGATAACTCTGGATACCCCCGTGTCGGAGGATAAGCCATTTTAATGTCAAGGCAATCAGCAACGGAATCCAGAGGTCGGACATCTCTTGGTTGCTCGCCATCACATAACCGAGAGGATGCAGCGGCAACCAAAAGAATTTGACCGGAGGTATGTAAGCACCATCATAACAGAAAATCCGATGCCTATGAATATCACGCCGAGCCAGTCTGTGTCGAGCGGATACGTAATCCAGTTCGTCAACCGTCCAAAGTATTCTCTCCCGTAACCGAGTGCCCACGGTCCGAAGTAGCCGGAATCCGCACCGAATTTGTAATAGAAATGCAGTTGCACCCAGAAAGCGACAAACACACCGAAAATAGTGGCGATGATAACTGTCAAGAGCATCCGACGTTGGTTAATATTGGCGAGTTCGGCAATTTTAAAAGCCTCTAATTGGTGCGGCATCTGCTGCGGACGGTAATCTCGGTTGAAAAAACAGACGGAGAGTGCCGTTAAGTTCCGTGCGCCGAGGTGATGCGTCCCCAAAATAGTGTTTAAGATGTATCGGGGTGCCTGCCAGTGGTAGGCATGGACAAAAATGCCGGACTCAGCTCTGATGCGTGTTGTCACCAACGGCGTTATGAGAAACAGGACAGCGAAAGTGAGTGCAAGCCAGATTGCCATGCCCGCCTTGTAGAGGAGAAACGCAAACAGCAAAATACCAACGACAAAGCCCCAAACAGCCATTCGATACGACATCGGTTCGTCGTGCTGTTCGACTGGCGGCTCTCGTCCGCGTGACGGTAGTGCGCTCCTCAAAACGGCTCCGAAATGTCGTTTGCCGTCCAACCAAAAAAGAAACAGAGTCCTACGAATGCTCCAATCGTCTGTTCGTTAAGATAGGGAAAGCGCGGAATACTACTCCATCCGACTGCCTTCGCTAAAGCGACTTCGTTTCGATAGAGAAAATAGAAAAGGGTTGTCGAAAAGAGGACATCTAACGGCATAAGAAACATAATACCGATAGCAAACGGATAAAAGGCGGTGATGATGGTGCCGTAAAGACTCAAGGGTGCTTCGTGAAACGAAAAAAAACGGCGTGTCACTGGAATATGCGGAATCACGGGATAGAGGTGGCTCAATCCGTTGAAAAGACTGATACCAGCAGCGATTGCGAAGCCGATCCACATCCGCTTGTTTCGGAAAAAACGGGATGTGGGGTCGGTCATCGCAAGCGGGAGTTGAATAATCGGGAAGGTAAGGCGTTCGCGCTGTGACCACTGCCGACGGAGGATCGTATTGAGGCAGAGAAAGATGAATGCTATGACGGAAAACAGCAATAACCATGCCCCCACCACTGGTAGCCAGACCCGTAAGTGAAGGGGATGATATAGGCTCGACTCCCCAAGGTAATAGCCACGGAGCGCATCTCTATCTGAAACGGTGAGCCATTGCGGGAGGTGGTGCCAAAATAGGGTGCGCCACTCGTTCTCTTCCGTTGCAAACCAGGAACTATGTCCAAGGACAGATAGGATCGCTTGAAAGACATCGCATCCAGCCAAACTTGTGGCGAAGCTGAGCGTTACATACAAAAACAGCAATTCGCCTTGTCCAAGGGCAAAGTTGTTTTTTAGAAGGCGGATGATACCGTTAATCAGCATTACTGCGGTGAGGATGAAAATGACATTGGACAGCGGGACCACCCATGTCGGAAAGGTATAACGCACGAGTTCCATCTGGATGAGGAAATAGCAGTTGATCGGTGCGCTAATGGCGAAGATGCATAGGGCGCGCCATGTGAGGACACGCTGTTGCTGGGGAGAAGTCAATTTTCTAATTTTCCTTGCGGAGGAACGCTGTGAGTTTGAACCTTTAACGTTCCTCTCTTAAATCCGCCCTCCATTACATTACGGGCTACGATCTTAGCTTAAAAGTCAGGAATTGGAGTTCCCACCTACTCTGTAAAGATTTACGAGTGCCCATGCACAGGGGTCTCGCGTGCTTTCTCGAAGAGGTCTGCCCATTCGTCAGTGCCGTCGTCGAAGGTTAACTCCAGACGCGCGCCTTCCACCTGTGCCTCACCGTTGCCGGCGTTGAAATAGCTCAAACCATCACCAGACATGTGGATGCAGCTGCCATCAGGATAAACAGCAGTCTTGATGATACGCGGCACGGGGTGAATTGTGTAGCCATCAGCGTCTAACTTCTCAGCAGGCACACGGAAACGTTCAACTGCGTCTTCATCGACTTCAACGCCTAACCCAGGGGCATCGGGAATCTTGTGGCATCCATCTGTGACCTGTATCGATTGTGTGAGCAGATGGTTGCTGTAGAGATTAATACAGGTGATTGCGGGCCATGTCGCATGTGTGAGTACACTTCCGAGATGTCCTGCCCAAGTCGTTGTCAAGCCGTTGCCAACGATTTGGAGCCAAAACGGCATATCTGCCGCCGCGCTGAGTTGTCCCTCACGCATTACCTGTGATTTACCACCACCGATGACAAATCCATTACAAACATCTTCACGTACACAGGTGGTATAGGGTGGTGACCCGAAGTGCATGGCGACCTGACAACCAACGGTTTGGCGAATCTGCTTGTTTCCGTCAATATCGCTCTGTGGGATGGGGGTCTCAAACATCGCCACGTTTGGGTGTGTAGCGAGTTTCTCCAGAATCGGAATAGCCGTTTCTGCGTCGCGCCAAGAACCGTTCGGATCGAGGTCCAATTTGAAGTCTGATGGTACGATTTCTGCGACCGCTTCTACCTGTGCGGCGATATCCCACCACGGACGCGGTTTATTTTTGAAACTGGTATAACCGTTTTCCACGGCATCGGTGGCTTCCGCCGCCCAGTTTTCAGGGGAGGAATCGATACACCACCATGAAATTGGGACTGCCTCTCGACACTGCCTTCCGAGGAGTTGGTAAACCGGGCACTTCTAAAATTTTGCCGACGACATCAAAGAGTGCCATCTGTAAACCTGCACCCAGTGAATCGTCGTTCATGAGTTCGGCAGGACTTTGCCCAAGCACGCGCTCGATACTGGCATCGCTGACCCGGGAATAGGTATAGTGGATGACGGTCTCACCCCAACCGATGTGTCCGGTATCGGTTGTGACCTTGCACAATTCAAGGAGCGACCAATTGTAAACGGTTGATACACTTTGCGTCGTAATCTGTTGTTGGCGTGGGGTGAAGGGGACATCTACAATTACGCGTTCAACGTTCGTGACTTTCATGGATAAACTCCTTAGAGGTCAATGGAAGGATATGAGGTACAGCACACAAAAAGCCGCTATTCGGGGATCGCTCCTATAGAAGAACTGAACGGCTTTGGCAATGCGCAGAGACCTCGGGTGAAATCTGTAAGGATAAAAAAAGGGCGAGGGATTGATAAAGCCTTCCCCCTCGCCCTATTATATACTAATACGCGTACTAATACGCGATTTTAATCTCGCCCAGAGGGTTGTGAGTTTGTCTTTGACATCGACATCAAAGCCACTGGCATTTGTAACGAGAATGCTGTCGATTCTGCCCATTCCCCAGCTCTCGTGCCAGACTCCGACACCGCCGGCACCCTTGGTAGTGGCTTTGTCGGATTCAAGTATTGGGTCCCCGAGGTCATCGGAGGGTGCGAACAGGTCTTTGACCTCCTCAAGTTTCTTATACCAGATTTTAACGTTGTTGCCTTGAACCTCAACGCGTCCAAAATAGGCGACAGCGTTTGGTTTGATCAAGTCCACCGCCTAAGCCGTGTGGTACACTGGCTATTTCTTTCCCACCATTTTCACAACCGCACTGATCAAGGCAGTTTCCGGAGGGACAGCACCCGTCTTCGAGACTCATGAAAAGGACGGACGCTGTCTCATTATAGCCAAAGACAACGAGATAGCCTTTATCGTCCCCTTTTCTGCGGAATTGCACACCGAAACTATCATCATCGCCAAAGGAAAAGACGACTTGGACGATGCCGTCAGTGAACTTGTTTATCCCAGGCAGTGCTGTGTTACCGGAGATACCACATCCCTCAGCGGTTTGTGCCATCGCCTTTTTACCACCGAGTTTACCACCGTTGAAATCTGCCTCAGCCCAGATGGTGCCGGCGTTCTCCGATTTATACTTTTTGACATCGTTCACCCCCGCATTCGGTTTTGCTTCCTTGGAGCCCGGCTCAAAATCGGCGTAAAACACAACTTGTCCGCTGGCGTGAAATGAAACAAGTAGACTCAAAATGAGGATCAAGAGAAAAAAACGTGTTTTCATGAAATATCTCCTCCGTTCTCATAAAGGGTTGTGTTGCCGTTTATTCGCAAGCAACAGCACGGTGGCGAGGCTGTAGGACCTTGCTTAGATGTCCATACGAAAAAAGGACCTCGCCATAAAATTAATAAAGTGTCGTGGGGAGGCATAAAAGCCTCACCCAACAAAGATGAGTAGTGCGGTGCAGGGAGATTGAGGTACGGTAACCTCGCCCTGCAACGCAGTTAATTTTACGGTATTAGTCTATATTTCGGAAGGAGACTAATAACTGTCTTTAACGTCGCCCCACGTCGTGGAGACTTTGCCGTGTGGGTCAACATCAGTGGTGCCGCCTGGACCGGTAACAAGGACGCTATCGACTCTTCCGTTGCCCCAACTTTCATGCCAGATACCGACGGTACCGGGTCCCAAATCATCTGCGCCGTCGTATTCAGCGATTGGATCGCCGAGTTCATCAGATGCCACAAAGAGACCGGGTACATCCTCCAGCGGCATATACCAGACTTGGATGAGACTTCCGGTGACTTCAACGCGCGCAAAATAGGCAACGCTGTTGTCTTGTGAGAGGTCCCCGCCTAAGCCATGGTCAACCCCGACGAGTTCATTACCACCATTTTCGCAGGTGCACTGGTCGAGACATTGTCCGGACGGACAGCATCCGTCTGCAAGGCTACCGATGATAATTTGGGGTGTTTCGTTATAGCCCAATCCGACGAGGTATCCTCTATTGTCGCCGACGCGGCGGAATTGGAAACCGACACCATCATCATCTTGCCATGAAAAAACGGCTTGGATAATACCGTCGGAGAAGTTATCGACACCAGGTAAAGGTGTATTACCGGAGATGCCGCATCCTTCGGCAGTTTGATGCAAGGCACCGCTACCATCAGGGAATTCGGTGGTCTCTGCCCAAATGGTTCCCTCGTTTTCCGACACCCAATTTGCTGGGTCATTGACACTGGCATCGGGGATTGCTTTAGAGCCGCTCACTTCAAAATCAGCATAGAAAATTATTTGTGCGCTCGCGTGGCTAATCAGCACGATTGAAAAAAGTGCTATGAGCACCAGAAGGTGGGTTCTTCTCATTTTTTACTCCTTTATTGATTAATCTTCCACAAGTTAAGTGGTCTGTACCAAAGTCATTTCCGTCTTACAAAGCACAGACAGAAATTCCCAAATTAACACCCATAGTAGCAACTCGGGTTATTGTAGTACTTTACACATTTTTGCAGGTATCTCAGCAAAATTGTAGCGAAAAAAGCAAACTTTTTCCGAATAAATTTGACTAAATAAACGAAAGCAACACAGGAACGCCTCCTTGGGAATTCACCGAGTTACAGTTCCAATAATTCAAGTTGTCCTTAAAAAAGGTATAAGCACTTGGAAGTTGCTGGCAAATCCACGGGATATCCTTTATAGTGTTTCTATCCTACCACAGACGAGAACGCTAAAAAGGGTATCTCATGGACTTATCAATTGCATGTAACCATCGCTACCTTTGTAATGTCAAAGCACATCTCATGGTCCCTGAAGTTACGCATAAGGATCAACATTCCATAAGATAGCAACTTACGTTATAATTATTTATTATTGAAAATCATCAAAATTTTGTCAACTTAAAAGTTGCAATTTTCCGTAAAAGATTCAATCCTCATTCGTATTTCCCCAGCAAGAACTATAATAACCCAAGTTGCCACTTGTAAATTCGTGGGATATCTTTATTCGGATTTCACGTTCACGTCTCTATCAAGGCGAAACGTGGCGTGGGAAGATCGCACGTAAGCACCGCTACTTTTATGGTATCAAAGCCAATCTGAATGCGCATTTCTGTCAATAAAAAATTAACAACACTTTGCTTTCAATGAAACGGTTATCCGCGTTCAGTTGTAAAAAAGAGGACTATAAATCCACACTACGACTGGATCTTGGGTGGTTTTCACAGAAGTCTTTCAAATGTTTATGAAAATTTGGTAGTTTGTGGCGTGCGGCAGAAGAAGTAGTCTATGCGGATACCGCCTACAAGACTCAAGGAGGGAAAGTGCAAGGTTAAATCAGTGATCTTCAGTGAAAAACCGTATCATTTGTAAAAGAGGCGAGGTTGGAAACCTCGCCTGCGGTGTGTGAATTAGCAAATAGTCTATATAACCAAGACTCTCCTTTAGATTCTGGATAGGTAGAAAGAGGAAGAGTAGACAGACGCTTGCCATAGGCGTAGCGGAGCGTGGAAAGGACCTCAAAAGCTACTAAAAACTAAAGACCGTTTGATACCTTATAGTCTTTCAACCTATTTTGCAACGTCCGAATACTAATCCCCAAAATCTTCGCTGTTCTCGTCCGATTTCCGTTCTGCCACGCCAAAGTCGCAAGGATGAAGGCTTCCTCCACAGCCTTAAGGCTTGTACCGAGCGGTAAAGGCGTGTTATGTTGGTTTTCAGGTGTGTGAATTGCCTTTGGGACGGTGACTTGTAGTTTCTGGAATGCCAAAATTTCTTCGGGCAGATGTACGGGTAATATAGCCTCCCCGTCTGCCAAAATAACTGCGTGGATTAAGGCGTTTTCTAACTCTCGCACATTCCCGGGCCAAGGATAGTTTTGCAGGCGCGCGAGCGTCTCTGGAACGACTTTACGCACGGGCTGCGCGTAGGTATTGCAATGTTTCTCCACAAAGTATTCCACCAACACGCTAATGTCCTCTCGCCGCTCGCGTAAAGGTGGCAGAGAGAGAGAAACAGCATTCAATCGATAGTAAAGATCTTTGCGGAAAGTACCATTGTCAACAGCTTCGGCGAGGTTACAGTGAGTAGCCGCCACGACTCGGACATCCACTGGAATGGGCCTCGTTCCGCCGAGGCGTTCAATCTTGCCTGTCTCGACTGCCCGCAATAACTTTGCTTGCAGGGAGAGCGGCATATCTCCAACTTCATCAAGAAAGAGCGTTCCGTTGTGTGCCCTTTCAAATTTGCCGATATGTCGCGTTTTCGCGTCCGTAAACGCGCCTCTTTCATGTCCAAACAGTTCACTTTCAAGCAGCAAATCCGGAATCGAGGCACAGTTAATGGAAACTATCTCATTCTCTGACCGATCACTATTTTGGTGTAAAGCCTGTGCTATCAATTCTTTGCCGGTCCCAGTCTCACCGCAAACAAGCACTTTTGCTGTGGTATTTGCGATCTTATCAACCTGTTTGAGAACAGTAAAGATCTGTGGGCTTCTCCCAACGATGCCGTCATAATTCCCTCGTAACGTATCTCTTGCGATGGAGCGAGAATAGGAAAATTGCGGCACTCTACTTTTGTAATCAAGCTTGAATTATCTACCTGTTGCGGAATTGGACAACGATCACCATCCTCGGAAGCCGGTAAACCTGACTCGGACCCGGGGTCTGTCAAGCGGGTACCGTTGTCCTGTTTCTCTACAACAGCGGGACCGTAACCATCTCTCTCAAGAAGCATTTCTAAACTTCTTAGGGTCTCACTGGTTACGTCGCCTAAAATAAAAACGTTGCCTTTGTCATAGGGTCTATCTTCTCTGGTTTTGTGTATCATGCCTTCCCACCTTTTTTTAAATACAGACGTTATTCACTTTTTACACACTTTCCCACACAATAGGGGCTTCACAATACAATAACGCGTCTGAAGGAAGGGAAGGTTGCATAAAATGCAATAGAGGTTGCACAAAATGCGGTAATAGGAAAAAATTGCACCAATTTATAGCATAATTTTCCTAATATTTTTGCCGCGTGTAATGGTATTTATAAGGATATTTGCTTATTCTTTGGGAAACTTCGTCGCGAGGTACTTGGGATTTGATCTGATGCTGGGTGGGTAACGGATTTCCCACACTTTAACGAGTGCTTTCGCAAAATTATTAGCGGGATAGATTGGTACAAATGCCCTGCTTGACTCACCCCCGCAGAAAGGGTGCCGTAGCAGTTTCTTTACCGGTTAACATGAGATGGGTCGCATTGTGGGATATCAGGAACTCCAATGCCTCACGCTCGGTTTTAGCGAAATTGACGTGCTGTTGGTAGAGATCTATCCAATAGGGGTATGTAGTGGTCCTGATCGACAATGGTTTTAACACCAGCGAGGACATTGAGTTGACTCCCATGATTCCAGTGAGCGGCAACAACAGCGCGAGGGGGTAGATTGCCTTTTATCCAATCAAACGCCTGAGCGAGGCTGCCTCTCCCCGGCGTAGCCCTGCGAGATTTGATAGCGGTAGATAGCGCACGGTTTGCGTGCCCGCCCACAGGTGAATAGAATAGAATTAGGGTCAACATCAGTACGAGGATTGTTGTTTTTAAGAGGAGCTGCGGTACACGGTGTTTCACTTTATTGGCATAGAAAGTGGCTAAGAAAAGGAGGAGATCTGTGGTAAAGAAGGCAATGGATATCCCTACAAAAAAATTGTAGCGTTTAGCATCCCGTGCCAGTGCTACCCAAAAGAGAAACCATACGGTAAATGCAATGTAGATGAATTCATTCTCAACAGAACCTTGTCGTCGCCATGAAAGCACAAGGAATCCAATGATGCTGGTAGCAATCGCGATACCAAATAGCATATTAACAACGGATGTTCCCAAAAGTGAATCAAGTACACTGCGATAAAAGGTTGTTCCCGTGAACAGGACCAGTGGTGCGGCGAACACCAGTCCCGCATTTTCCAAAAGCGGAAGATTGTCATAGCGATACCGAGACTCCCCAACACAAAAACACTCCCGTAATGCGTCATCCAATAGATAAGAAAAGTGCTTTCCAATTCTCCAATGCTTTGCATAAGCGCATTTTGACTGAAAGGCACAGTGGTATCGGCAAAGGTATTGGACTGCATTAGGACATAACCGAGTGCGAGCGTGATGCTGGCAAGGGTTAACCCAAACGCAAGGGTACGTGCGTGTAAATGAAATTTCTCAGCAAAGGGAAACTTTGTGGTGAGAAGATGGCGGAGGTAACGGATAACTAAAAGGACGAGCGGAGGCACGAGCATCAAGGCAGCAATGTGCGTCGCAAATCCCTGCCCGCTTCGATAAGCAGGGGATACAAGGTACAGCGGTGGCACGAAGGTGCAGGTCCAAATCAGATATACCCCTAATCTGTCTTCTGTTTCAGAGGTAAGAAACCGCCAAATTTCAACCAGTAGAATGATACTGAGAAAAACGCCGAAGCCTTCCCAACTGACACCTCCAAGGAACATAGCAAAACCGCTCGCGAGTGTCCATAAAAGACATTTACGTGGCTGTTGTGATCGCAGTGAAGCGAGATAGGTTGTGACGGTGAGGATACCGAGCATGAGGCACCAGCTGTCTCTATCTCCAAAACCGGCAGTGCTGCGGATGATCGCACCAGGGAGTGTTGCCAAAAGCACGCCAACGATGCTTGAAAAGAGAATACCGAAAGTACGATAGAAAAAGAGGCAGAGTGCGCCGAGTCCAAGGCAGAAGCAGACAACGGGTGTGTAGATGGTAACGTGATAGAGTGTAATGTTCGGGAATACCCACGCGATCCCTTTGTGAACGTAGGCGAGGATGTATCCGTAGAGATTGAGGGTTTGGGTTAAATCTCTACCGAGTGGAAGCCATCGACTCATATCCCGTTCTGGCAATTTTCCGTGTTCGGAGATGAGGTGTGCCTGCCAGTAGTAGAAGTAACCATCGGGTCCGGTTAACTGCCCTGAGGGACATTTGTGATACCTTGCAACCGAATGAAAGCGGCAAGGCACAAGATACCGACAATCAGAACAACAGCACTTAATTTTTCGATTTTCATCATATTGTTGGTGTGTGTCTCCCTTTGCCAGCGTGCTTACTGTTCTTGAATTTTAGAGTTTAGGAACGTAACGCCACATGAGAAAGGCTTTGTCAGTGGTAAATGTACAGAAAATTCCACATATACCGCCTTGACAAATTAGCACCTCATTTTGACACGATCTTTTGTGCAGCTAATTCTCGCTGTGCGGCAACCTTCCTACGCTTACGCTTCTCCATGAATTCTTTGAACTTCGCGAGATCCTCGTTGCAACAGCCGCAGCCTTTTTGGCATTGGTGGAGTCGGTGTTAACAGAAGTTGTTGTTTCTATCTGCCGCGGTGTATAGACCGGCAATCTGTCGGTGGCATAACCGATGAAGGTAGCAGAGATACCAATAATAGCAAGTACAGCGATAATGTATAAGAAGTGTATATCCTTCATTTACCCGTTTCCTTGTTTCGTTGGATCAACCGTTCGACATATATGGCAATCTCAGGGTCAGATGCCTTGAGTCTGCGGAGACCTTCTTGGGGTCCGTACTGACTCAGTGTCTGCACGGCGGCGTTAAACCGTTGGGGTGAAAACTGCTCGCGCACGACATTTTCAATACTCGACTCCGTGGGAAGTTCCCGTTCATCAGGGAAAAGCGTTTTGAGGAGTTCCGCCTCAATTTCTTCGACGGTTGCTGGCACCTGTTTTAAGCCCTCAGCGGTCGGTGTTTCCTCGCTAAACAGCAAGGGTTCTGGTTCACTGCCTAAGTGTCTCTTCAGCAACCTTAGCTGGCGTTGGTTCGGCAACAGGAGCGGATTCTGTGAATGTGGGAACGATATCGACACTGTCTGCGTCTGTGACAATACTTGCAGCATTTTCCCTCACCTCTTGTGCCCACTCCAAGTCGCCAACATATCCGTTGAAATATCCGCGCATCCAGACATTGTTTGCCTCTGCTTTCGCTTCGAAACTGCGACAGACACCGATCGTTTGCCTGACATTCTCTTCATCATTTGTTGCTGTAGGCAAGAGTCCTGTTTCGAGAAAAAGCTCGGCGAGACGTTTTCGCATATCGGGTTCGTACTCGGCATATTCGCCGGTGGGAAAGTGCTCGCGAAATCTTTCCTCTTGTGCCATCCGACCGGAACTGAGCCCCTTCGACTCAAGGAAACCCCACCATAAGTCAAGATCTGTTCCAACCCGCGCATTCTGCCTTTTCTGGTATTCTAAATATTCTGGGGAATTGACAGCTGCGTAGAGTGCCTTCCAATAGGGATCGTTCTCTGTGTCAACACCGACAAACTCCATTTGCGCGAGAAACGTCTCTTTTGCTTCCAGGGCGCGTTCTTCCGGGGTGAATTCTTTGCGGATGCTGACGTCTCAGCTGTCCCGGTGATCTCAGTTGATTGTCATCTTTCAGGGAGGTTGCCACGTATTTCTTAATTGGCTCCAGTTGTCTCGGTGAGAGCATCACCCACACACCAACACCGATTGCGATTACCATTGTCAAAGATGACAAGGACATACACCAGTTTGTTTTCATTTTCTGATTCCTGCCTATGACTGGGTAGTTGCCCACAATGAGCAACTACCGCGATAGGTTGAAACATAAAATCGGTTCTATGGATTACCGACAGGTATCTGAAATATTCGTTACAAACCTGCATTCTATCACTTCTGCGCATTTTTACACCGCTCTGCGTTATTACTATTGCACGCATCCGTTGCGTATCTCTTTCCTGCCTACAATTATATGCAAGGTAACTACACTCGCACCCGTAGCTTCCGCATTTTGTGCTATCAGGTGGAATGTCACGAAGCCAAATGCGAGTCCGAAGAGGACTACAAGTGCTGGAATGCTCGCAATCAAAGTAGATTTCATGATTTATTTCTCCTTTTATACATTATATCTGTTATGTCTCAACATCTTGTGACGTAAGCACTTCATCGGTGGCTATCAGTGAGGCATAGAGGAAAATAAGGCTTTTGAGTTTTCCTACAAAATATTCCGAACACGCTAAGGCATGTTCAACATGTTTATATAAAAGCAATTTATGTGCCAATTGCTAAGAAACCATACTGTTAGGGAGCTCAGTGAAATTTTATTCCGCAAATCTTACAGTCTCTGTAAATTCTGCAGACTTGATCAGCAAACCCTGCATATCTTTCAAAACACAATGTCACGAGCGGGTGATACCTCGAAAACCAACGCACAAGGATAAGGCGTAACCTATACCCAATCGGCATGTCCACTATCAACCATCATCTGATTGATGTACAAGCCATCCGAATACTGCCAGACGTGAGCGACTGCGCGACCGTAAACATCAGTAGCGACCGATTTGATTACGACTCGTTTCCCTTCTACGAGCATCTTTAAATAGTTAGTAGATTTTTGTCCTTGTGGGGTGTTGCTTTCGGGAGCGTTTATATTTGCCAAGCGAATTCGTTGGGTTGAAGTCTTAAAGGTATCACCATCGGTCACGGATGTGACATAGGCTGAATACTCATTCATCTTTCTACCTCTTTTTTCAACGAGTAGGTTATACCTT